AAAAAAAAATACCTAAAATCCTTTGTGGACTTCTCCTACAAGGCGGCCGGACACTTCAACTTCGCCGGAGAGAGGCGGCGCCGGCGGGAGAGGCGGCGGGACGGTTGGCCGAGCGGACGGGGGGGCTCTGGAATTCGCGACCTGGAGCAAATCAGCGGAATATGTCGGGATGAAGCCTTAGCCGATCGGGTGTGGGGGATTTAATGGAGAAATTTTAAGTAGGTGGGCCCTTGGCTGAGGCGTACGCCTCTCTCAAAATTGCGCAATTGCGCAATAGAGGCGCGCCTCAGCCTACGTGAGGCGTACGCCTCACCACAGCCCAGAATTGCGCACGCCATGAGGCGTTTTTTGCAAGAATTGCGCAGAGGGCGCGCCTCTTATTGCGCAATTTTAAACCATGCTGGCCACTGCAACCACCAAACACACCCACCACCCAGCTTAGGCCACCACCGTGCCACCCATCATCATTGTTGTCAGCCACCACTACCTTCAACCAATGGCCACCATCACTATTTCACATCGCCGCCACCATTTAAGACTTTATACTACATTCATTTAACTTCAAATCAAACAAATATATATATATATATATATATTCACCTGCATTTATTTTACACTCATCGAAACAACACCAAATTATTCATTTTACACTACATTTTTTTTTCATATTGCATTCCCTTTTCAGCCAATCAAATAGCCTGATATTCTATAACAAGGACAATCAATCATGGTTGTATGGGATTTTTTCTAACACTAGAAGTACCTTTAGAGTTCTATAAATCTTTAATATTATTGTTGGCCTTTACATGATATCATAATAGATGTTACAACCATACCTAGAAATAATTCTAGGCATTTAAGAGAAATCCTTGTCGCACAACCAAAGTTTCAAGATCATTTTTACAAAAAAAAAAAAAAAAAAAAAACCAAACTTTGTATTGGTTGCAAAAATTGAAAAATGTGTACCTTTTTAAACTAAAAAACAAATTACAATGCATTATATGCAAGATCCCTTTTTCTTTTTTTACAATCACAGTTAGTAGCTTACCCCAAATGTCCTAAAAGCAAAATGATCATAGCAAATTTGATTTCCATCCACCGAGAGGACAAGATCCAGAACAGCTTTGGCAGTAGGGTTTCTGTCCAAATACACCTTCTCCATACTTCGAACCGCCATCCTAAACAATGATTCTGCGCCCTACAACCAACACATACATTAAAACTAAATCTTTTGATGCAACTCGGCATGGAATCGATTTTATCAGTAAATTACTTTTGCAGACGTATCAACGATCATGTTCGTCTGGGATCCGACGGCCATGGCCCGTGAATGGCTCCGGTGGGAGATTGAGCGGTGAGAGAGTACTTTCGATGATGAGATGATGCTCCTCGAAGACAATTGCGGGAGAAAGGAGAGAGATGGGAGGGAATGGAAGGACTTCGTGGGAGAGAAGCGGAAAATAAACATGGCCGGAGCCCTAACTACAGCTTCCATGCATCCGTCGTAGATTAAAGACATTGGCGGATCGAGACAAGGGTCATTATTTAGGGGTGTAAGTAGGGAAGTTTTATTTGGTTCGGTCGACCGAATGAGAGAAACATTCGGTCGCAGGGAAAAATTGTGCGGTATCGAGGTATACCGAGTTTTTTGATCAAAAAACTCGGTACACCTCGATACCGCACGATTTTTGCCTGCGACCGAATGTTTCTCTCATTCGATCGGAGGACATAATAATTGTTCGTAAGTAGGTTTGCGGAATTCCAGAATGTAATTTGGGGCCCAATGCATTCAAGGGCTTGGCCCATAGTGATTGGAATTCGAATTCCTCACACAATAATTTTTCGTAAGCAGCCGGCTTGAGGAGATGGCAAGTTGAGCTTATGGATGGGGCTTGGACTGGAGCTCAAACTCAGACTAGCATATTAAACAGGTTCAAGTTTGAGTTAAATAAGATACTCTGCTCGAAAGTTGACTTAATTAGACTAGTATTAAAAAATGATAATTAACAACTGAATTAATTTTTAAAAAAATCAGCTATTTTTTGAAAGGCAGCTAAAAAGGCTACCAAGTATTAATTGCATTTAATGCATAAAAGCAAACAACTGTTTTAGTTTAGGTTTTTTTTTTAAATATTATTAGCTTTTTTTTAAAACCCCGCACCTCTCTTCTCCTAAAAAATGCTTCTTCAACATCTTCTTTTGGCAAGGAAAGCTCACGGGTTGGCATCATAATCTCCTTCTCTGGCAAGCCTCATGAGTAGAGCTCAAGCACCATGTAACTCCAATGACCAAATATTCATACTTCTTTCTCCAATACTGAATGATGTGACTGCACCTGATTCGTCTCTGAACGATAAGTTGTGCCCTGTGTCTGTACAGAAGACCATTTATTTAGTGCTTGAATGGTTTCGTTAAAAAAAAAAAAAAAACTTTCTGCTGACCTTGCATCATCTTGGAAGAAGATTATAGTGATTGATTATTTGGAGCATGTTTCGTTTAATAGAGCCAAGTTGGAGTTAGGGTGCAATATGGAGCATTTTATAATCATTCATATTTGTAGACGGCAACTGTTGAGTTATACACATTTGGATGTTATTTATATGAAATCGGGTAGCCCCTAGGTATTACTTGTTTGGGAATTAGATTAATGCAAGTATGCTTGGAATATGTTGGGAATATTGCTCTTTATAAAGAATTAAGGATCATTTTGATTATTAAATGAATGTAGTATAAAGTCTTAAATGGTGGCGGCGATGAGAAATAGTGATGGTGGTCATTGGTTGAAGGTAGTGGTGGCTGACAACAATGATGATGGGTGGCACGGTGGTGGCCTAAGGTGAGTGGTGGGTGTGTTTTGTGGTTGCAGTGGCCGGCGGTAGTCTATGCTATATTTATTTAACATGCTGCACAGGAACTTATGGTTGCCATGACAATGTAATAATGAATCACAGTTTAAATAAATTAGCAGCAGCAGGTAAATAAATGTTAATTTATGAAATATATTTTGAATTCCAAAAAGCAAGTTACCGTTGGGGACTGCCCTTAACATTATTTTTTTTATTGGATTAATATTAAGTTCTAAAAGACATTTAATATAAGAAACATTCAACCCCCGAACAATATCAGATTAACTTGCATTCACAGATAAACTAAATTTCCAATCACACACCTTATTCACAGAAAAAATGATCAAAATAATCTCTTGATTTTTTTTATGAAAGATCAAAATAATTCCCAACTATATAAAATGATCATTTTGACCCCTTAATTCTTTAAAGAAGAATCAAAATAATCTCATAATTAGACTATTGTGTTTTCCTTTAAAAAATTAAAGATGTCAAAATGATCATTTAATATAGTTAGAGAATCATTTAGGCTCTTCATAAAGAATTAAGGATCATTTTGATTATTTTCCTTTTGTAAAATAAATTATTTATAAAATGTACTGAACTTATTTGGGCACACGAAACATGACACCGGATACTATCTTTTTTAATTACTGCTTTCACACGACACAAAATGATTTTCAATGCAAAGAGTTTGAATGAGTATTATTGATATTGTATACTCCATAATAAAACAAAATAAAAAATCTGCATAAAGACCCTCCCAAGTCCCAACAACAAATAAATCAGCAAGTAAAACAAGAGATTCTGTCTCCAAAAATATCCTCCAAGCTTAAAAAAGAATAAAAAATAAAACTAACTCAGCATGATCTTCTCCTCGAAAGAGAGTCCTTTAATTACCTGCTTCTTTTGGAGAGTATTTAAAAGCATTTTGGTGAAGGGCAGTTTCGTTGACTGAATGGACGAGCCATATAATTGAAGAAAAGAGTCATTCTCATACATTAAACTCCATGCAGATCTGCCAATTTGGAAAAACTTTGCACACCGCACATTCATAAATTCAAAATAAACAATCTTAGATTCAAGTAGAAAAAAGAAGACCAGGAAAACTTTGCTTTCATATGCAGTTATCTAATAATGCAACAATATTAGTTCACCATACAGTATTTACAAATTACTGGTTCAGTAGCTGCAGAACCAAGCGCTGAAATGAACATGCTAAAATATTCTGGGAGCTGCAAGCAGGTTACAAGCATGATAAAAATGACATGCAATAAATTTTAAGTGCAGGAAATCATGATTATAATTAGCCATCATTAGTCTTATCTCAACAATGTAGAGACAATCATTATAAATCATCATTCTTTATTCATTAAAAATAATTATTAAATTAAAACACATTAATTATTAAAGTGTCTGAAATTAACATAACCTTAATTAAATAAAATTATTTAAATCTAATTTAATTTAAAAGTAATTAGGAATTTAAATAATTAAATTAATTAAAATAACTTTAAAAGGAAAAAATTACTAATTTAAATTGAATAAAAAAAATTCTGATTATTAAAATTGATACGTCATCATGAAATTATCTTGATTGGGCACGAATCTCGTGGCAAAATCAGTTCGGAAACTTCAAAAATTAAATTCAGGAGCATATGAACTCCGATTTCAGCGAGCTTACAGTCAAACTGAGCGTCTCGGAAATACAAACCCAACGACACCAAGATCAACCCAATCCGAGCCCAAGTAAGTCCGAATCAAGGGCTCAAAGCACTGTCGGAAGGTTCAAACCGCAATTTGAGTTACCAAACGGTCTCCGATTTTGACGATCTTATACTCGAATCGAACGGCTCGACGAGACGAATCCAACGAGTCCAAGATCGCCGAATTAAAACATCATTAAGGCCTTCAAATGCCCAACGAACGGTGCATGATCAAAGGATTCG